CCAGCCCCACTATTTTTTTTTTTAAAGAGTTTATGTTGGAACTATATCTATCAAGATTAAAAATATACCCCTTTGACTTGGCAGATCTAAATGCTGGGAATTTATCCTACAGACACTTAAGATTTGCACAATTACTTTAAGGCACCTAAAGAATGCTGATTATGACACCTCAGAGCAAAACACTAGAAATGATCCAAATGTTCATCACTATAAGATGTGTTTTGAGGGCCGCAGAGATAGCTCAGTGGCATAATCACCTGCCTGACAAGCACAAGGTCTGGAGTTTGATCTCTGGTACCAAAACAAAAAACCAAAAAAGCAAATAGTTTTGGTTTTTCTGTAGGGTATAACTGTGTGCAACAGTTACTGAGAATGAGGTTGGCTGTATGTGCCACCATGCAACACTGACTTGGCCATGCAGAGCTAAGGTACAGAACCACATACATGGTATCGTACACCTCCATGTGTGAAACAGGTATGCAAAAACATATGACATAGAACACTTCTGGAAGGATATGCAATAAATTGTTAGCAGTGGTTACTTCTGGAGCAAGATAAACGTTCTCATTTTAGCATGTCTTATTTAGATTTAATAAAAAATCATATGCCTATAGTATATATAAGGTAAATTAATCAAATCAAAGGATGAGGGTAAAATAAATCATGGAGGAAAAAAGGACCTGGATTTAGAGTAGGTTCTTATGGCTGTAATTTGTTTTTAAATCAATAATGGCTTTTGAGAGCATTTGATAACAGCTGCAATTCAAGGAGAGGTTAGGGGATGGGGAAGAGCTTGGCCGGTTTTCTAGATTTTGTAATGGCTGGAAGGTCTCTTTTGAGGGACCAAGGGGTCTGGTGCATACGGATGTACTTAAGGCCCACGTGTTGAAGTGGGAAGCAGGGCGGCTCTTGTGGAGAAGCAGTTCTTTCAGCTCTGCTAAAGTGACACTGAACTTTCCATTCCAGTTTCCCCTTTTGGGGAAGTGCAGGAGGAGGGCTAAGACAGCTCTAGAGAAAGTGGGATGGGAGGAAGGGATGGCCGGCAGGCAGCAGGGCCTTCACACACAACTTGTTTCTTCAGGGATTGTACAGAAACCACACACAGTATCTTGTTCTAACAGTTTTGCCACAAACCACAACCTCATTACTAATAATTCAATTCCTTGCAAGAAACTTCTTCATCTTAATTTGAGAAATTTCTTATATACCCAAAAAATCTCTAGAAAATCAAACACAAGGGGCAAAATGCCAAAAAATGGCAAAATCTCTAGTGTTTGTGTTTGTGATATACTCTCATTCTAAGAAGATGATGCTTCAAGCTGCTGGGATTTCTCAGAAAGAAAGGGCAACATACATAGGCCCAACAGACAGAAGGTCCCCAAATCTTCAGTGGAAGGGGACTTACCTGGTACCTTGTCCACAGATGCAAACACAGAACGCTGCACTGTGGGGTCGCTGCTGCCTCGGCGGCCCTGATCATAGAAGCGGAAAGGCAGGTGCTGAGCGGAAGTGGAAGCGCCAAGTCCAAATCCCAGGACTTCAGTTGTTGGCTGGATTGGGAGGTCCAGTAGTGCTATTCAAACAACAGTATAGTTCACTCTCAGCACGTAGAAGGGGGGCAGGCAGGGCATAACACTTGGGGTGGGCTGTTGTGGCTGTAGACCAACCATTTGTGGCACTTGGGTGATGCCAAGCAGGTAACCTTGATCTGGGGCAAATAGCAGGACACTGAAGATCCACCAGTGTTTAGTGAAGGCTTCAGGCCAAGGTTGGGACCAAGGAGAGAGGGGTGCTAGGCCTGGCACTTGAAGCAGAATGGATGATAGGCCAAGTTATACCTTGGAATCTTGGGTTCCACATGTATGGCTTAGCTTCTAGTGGGGTTTAGTGCTTTGGTGTTTCTGGCCCCAAAGTGAGTAGGGATAATTCTGCCCTGAACTACATATATATAAATGACTCTCATATCTGCAGGAGATTGTGGAACCTCTCAAGGACACAAAATCTGTAGGTGACCAAGTTCTGTATGTAAAATAGCCCAGTATTTTCATATAACCCATGAATATCCTCCCACATACTTCAAATCATTTCTAGATGACTTATGCTCAAGATGATGTAAATGCTATGTAAATAATTATTACACTGGGTTGTTTAGGGAATAATGAGAAAAAAAAAATCTGTGCTTGCTCAGTACAGACATATTTCCCTCCCAAGATTTCAATCCCTGCTTGGCTGAACCCACAGATGTAGAGCCCACAGACATGGAGGGCCAGCTGTGTGCATGCATGGGAAATATGTGTGAGAAGATACAAATATACAGTGTGTATGTGTGTACTTGTAAGTATGTATCCGTCATGGCTGCTATCCCCTTTTCCATAAAAAACTCATAATATATTGATTCAGAGGGGCTTTTTAAAATCAATTTAAGAAACACCCAAGGTGTTAGTTCTAACAGCCACTTTACAGCATAATTCTCAATTTCCAAATGAAATATTTGGCCTTCATGCCAGCTATGAGAAACTGCTTTACATTAAAAAAA